ATCAGAGAATTGACCATCAGTCAATGTTCAAAGTTTTTCAAATCATGCGTGAATGCTTAGAGAAGATGGCTTCATCTTTTGTTTTTCCTTTCCGAGTAGTAGTCTCAGCTTTTTTAAATACTCGTTGTTTTGGTTTAATTAGTTTTTTAACTCAGTTTTTTATTGTGTGTTTTTTTAAACAGGAGGTTCTTAGCAAAGTTACTATTCCTGAGGCTTTGGAGTCAGACAACTACAGTCAACAAGATGACTCAGGGGATGATAGCATGAATGAACAAGAGGAGCAAACTATAGTTGATATGACAGAATCAGACGCATCAGACGGCATGCTGATCGATGGCCTGAGAACATTTGTAATTGTGCTCAGAACTAGAAGAAGCTATTCTTTCTTTTCTTTTTTTGTGTTGTTTTTCATAAGTTCGATTCTTTGACAGAAACTTTCCTTTATTTATACAGTTATAGAAGAGACAAGAGAGGAAGCTGGAGAGGAGTGCTTTGAAAGAAAAAAGGAAGAAAGTAACTTTGTGCTTTTTGTAGTTTTTTTCATTCTTATCATTTCTAAGCCATAACCAAAAATCTGTTGTAGAAAACAATACGCCTCAGTATTTTTAATGCTTGCTATTTGTTTCATTTCCAGAGGACAAGGGCAGAGAAAGGAAAAGCCAAACGGCACATTAACAAAGAAAGAGCACCTGCTTACAGCAGGTTCAGCATTGGATATTTCGTGAAGATTGTTGATGTTGTGTGCAAAAGCAATCACAGGATGGAGGTTGTGAGGGACGGTGGTTTTGGATACTTGCTTGAGCTAGATGATTGTTATGTTCCACGACCATTCGCACAGTGGGTCGCGGACAACATATCCACAAAAGATGAAACAATTGTACTTGACGGGAAATCAATTGCTCTCAACCCTGAAGCCGTATCATTAGTTCTTGGTATACCAGCAGGCGGAACAAAGATCAGAGTGCTAGACGAGGAGTGTGGGAAAGCAGAGTTCCTATCACTGTTTGGGCTAACAGAACTTCCATCCATAAGTTTCTTTGGGAACAAGCTTAGGAACGAAGAACTGCCTGACGATGTTTATCTTCGGTGCTTCTTGACTGTCGCACTAGCAACCTTCCTGTGTCCCACATCCAGCACAAAGCCAAGCACCAAATATTTGGGAGCACTTGTGGATGTGTCAAAGTCAAAAGATCTTGATTGGTGCTCTTTTGTCCATACATGGAATATCTCCTATGTCAAGAAGTACCAAACAGACAAGATGAAGCAGAAACGGATAACAACCACTTTGGGAGGCTGCATTTATCAGCTAGCAGTATGCGCCTTCTTTTTGTTTATATGAAACTTTTTGTTATTTTTTTTGTTCTCACCATGTCCAAGATGAAGCATAAACTTGTGGAAGAATATTATTTTATGAGCACTGTGTTCTCACCAAACATTCTCAAGGTTTCATTTTTTTTATTTTGCAGGTTCGGTGTCTAGACTTCAACAATTTTGGATCAATAACAATTCCACCAGCACTACCCAGGGTTTGTTTCTGGAAAGGACAAACCATTAAACATTTCAGTGATATGCTAATTGGGAAAGATGGATTATATGGAGCTCTTCAAGTAAATATCATACTCTGCTATATTTTTTTCTTCTGTTTTATGTGTATCTTTTGTTTCTTACATCAACTCCTATTTATGTTTGTTTATTGTTTATTTCCATTTTTTGTCAGATAAAAGATGAGGCAGAAACTTGTTATGCAGAAACTGACGGTGCATGGGCAAGCACCGCCAAGAACTCAAACATTCGAAAAGCTATACAAAGGGTCTTAGGCAACTCTTTTTCAGATAAGGTAAAATGCGTCAGACTTGATTGAGAAAACAACTTCAACAATCAAATTTAGCTATTTTGGCTTCTCCTTTTTTCTATATTTTTTGATTTGTTTTTATGGAATCTTTTTCTGCTTGTTAGATCAAAGAAGATATATTCCTCAATTTCCAGGAGCGCGTAAAAGATCAAAACCTGACGACATGTCTGATAGCAAAACAAGTGCTGCTGGATACTTTGAACATTGTCTCTTCTTCTTTTAATGGCTCTCAACATACAGAGAAGTTAGAGTCATCCGAGCACTTGTACATGCCATACAGAGAAGTTAGAGTTGATTCTAATGGGATTGAAATTGGCAGTGGTATGTTATTACATCATTTTTTTCTTCATTCTAATTCATGTTGTGTTTTCTGTAATCAGACCCCCACTATATTTGTGGCAGATCGAAGAGGCAGGAAGAAGAGAATGAAGACGAGTACACAGCAGTCAATAACTTCAACAAGTAAGGATGTATTGTTGCAAGATAAAATAAAGGTATTTTTGTTCTTTTGTTTAGTCTTTTTAAATCCACATTTTTAGTGTGTAATTTTCAGTTCATTTTTTCTGTACCAAATTATGACGATGACCATGGCCACACCTCCAGCAAAGCACACCTGAAGTTGACACACAAGGAGTCAAAGCTGAATTGTAACCAATACCGTGTAATGGTCTTATAAATGAGCACAAAGATCAAGATGAAATGGTTAGTTTCATATAAAATACACAAGATCTAATGTTTTTATCCTTTTTTCTTAATTTTTTGTTATTTAACATGCAACTCTGTAAACTAATTTGACAGGAAGTAAATTCTGAAATTGGTAAAGGATGTACACATACAGTTGGACAATCGGTGCGTGCTGAATGCATTGCACTGCAACAAGAAGCCCACAAGGTTATATATCATATGTTTCTTTTTTGTCAACACATTTTTTTTCTTTTTAGCCAGGTGCATATAACTCTGACACCAACCACTTCAGTATTTTTTGTTGTGTTGCAGGGAGAAAGCATGAACAAGGTTGGCCCTCCTAAACACAACCAAGACACAAATATGTTGGACGGACATAGAAACATCCTCGAGCACAGTGTCAATGCTTGTCATATTGAAATAGAAGCACCAGAGAAAAGCACTAGCCTGAACTACATGCTATTATCAGCTAGATTGGCAAAAGCAGTGATGAGCACGACATAAGTTAACAATTCAAAGGAAGTATCCACCAAAGATGTACAGACAACATTCACAGGGTTTCAACATAACATTGTTAACAACAATAAAACACAGGTACACCCCCTGAGGAATACATTCGACTTTTTCTTAGTGTCATCATTCAAAGACGTTGTTCTGTCTGTTCTTTTTTGTATAGACCAACTGAACCTGTGTTTCTTCTATGAACATAGCATTGCATTGACACTAGTACCATGGAGCAACAAAATGAGAAGCAAGCAGCGGTGTCTGAATGTGTGGAACATCAAAACAACATTGACAAAGATGTTTTTCCAGGTAAAAACTTTCACACATTTCAGCCCCACGACAAAATCACTCCTGAGCATGTCTTTCTTTTTCTAAGATTTTTTGACTTGCTTTTGTTTCTTCATTTACTTGATTTTTGTTCATTTGTTTTCAGATCGAAACACTATGAATAATGTCAGCAATTACAAGAAGCACGTTGAACTTGATATAGATATCAACATAGCACTATCAAACAGTACTGCCTACATTTCTTCATTTTTCTATTTTTGATCAGACAGTATTTTTGTCTTTTTTGCATGTTTGCTGGCATCAATCCATTTCTCATTTGTTTTGTGCCTTTTTTCCTTTTTTCTTCTTCTTTTACATGACAACGGGATAGACGATAAGCAAGAACATGTCAAAGAGTTACAGGACACTTTGCATCCATTAGATATTGCAAGGCAAAAGTACTTCTTCACAGATGATGCGACACCTAGCTACAGAATTCTTCCAGACCATGATGATTGTGGGAATCAAATAACAGAGCCAGAATTGTGGCGCCCATTAGAGATGAACTCGGAAGACTATAATGCTCAAATAGAGGTAATTGTTTCTCCATAGCCCTTATTGCCTTTTTTTAGTTGTCATTTTTCTTACACACCCAGTTATATTTCTACAATTGTAGGAAGCAAAGAAAAAATATCCATGAAATACAAGCAAGGATGGCATCGAAGGACACACCCCGCAGGTACAAGCAAGGATGGCATCTTTTGCCTAGTGCACAAGTTCCTGTGATTCACCTAAAATTTCCTACAACCAATCTCCAACAGTTTTTGTTTTTTCATCTTTTTTGTATGTCTTTTCATAGGATGAGCAAGAAGCGCAAGGAGATTCCTCCATATAGTGTGCGCAGAGACAGCCTGTGTCCACAGGCATTTGCAAGTATAGAGACTTTCTTCCACAGTTTGAAGAAAAGGATGGCATCATCGACTTGGTATGTCTTTTTTTTGAAAAAAATTATCTTCGTTTCTCGCTTTCTCTTTTTCTGTTTTCTAATTCTCCTTAGTTTTTCCTGTGTTTCATTATAAAATACAACAAAACAATTTTTTCAGACATCGCCTGTTGCACGCATGTCACACACTTGGGACAGAGCAACAACATGCTACTCCCCAATGGGCAAATGGGACAGTGAGAACGATGAAAGTGCTACACACAAGTACAAGAAGGTATGACCATTTTTTTGTTATGTTTCTTATGTTCTTGTTTCCTCTATTTTTTTAGTTTTTTTATAAATTCTGGCTCTTTTTTAAATGTGTGTCAGTCTGCCCTCTAAAAGTGTGTTTTCGGTTTCTTTTTTGATTGGTTGCTAAACACGTCCTCTCAACATTATTTGCCATTTTGCAGAGATATTCAACAACAGCAATTTTAGGGAAAAGGCTTTTTTCAGATGAGTTTGATGAAAATGATGAACAAGAAGGCACTAAACACCAACCAATCCCTGTAAGTGACTACCTACATGTAAATTTGTTGAACAACTTTCTTTTTTATGTAGCTCTTTTTGACACCTCCTTCTCTGCAGCATCATCTTATTTTTTGCTGTCACACACACTAATCATAAATTGTGTGTGTTTATGATTTTTTGTAGGTGTCTCCGGATGTTCAAATTTTGGGGGAGAAATCATTCAATGGTTCATGCTCTAGTATGGTAAACACGACGGACAATTTATACAACATGAAGCTATCATTAGGCACTTCATCAAGTGGTAAAGAGAATTTGCCTCCAAAAAGGATAACACACCCAAGCAAGTGGCTCTCCTCACCATATGATCACAATGAGAGAGGACCTCTTCAGCCACATGAGATAGAGCTACACAGGGGCATAGTGGCACTAAGCAAAGTTGAACCTCACAGAAGGTTTTTTTTCTACACTCACATTTTTCCACTTTTTCCCCGTGATTAAATGGTTTTTGTTTTTTTGTTGCCTTCATTAACAATACTGGTTCTCAACCACCTGCAGCAAAGTGGTTGTGTTGATTGACAAAACAACCCTTTTCCTTGGACAACTTGGTGATTCATTTGGTGCGACTAGTCACGTCGAAGCATATGTTTTCAACGTTTTTTGTCAGATGCTCTTTCGAGAGAATCATCCAAGGAGATCAAAAACACACTACTTCTTCACTACACTAGGTGTAAGTACAAATAAATTTAATATCCAAGCACAACTCAACATATTTTCAACAGAGGGTTTTTTTGTACAACACTTTTTCTGGACTTCTTGGGTGGAAGATCAATAATTAATTTTCGTTCTTTTTCACAAATCAGGATTATTTTCTTGAAAATTGGAAATCTGAAGAAGGAAGGAGGGAAATGAAGAGAAAAGCACTTAGAAACTTCAATGGAGCTGGGAAAGCATTGCCTCTACACGAAAGTGATCGTGTATGCTTCTTTACACCAAACTATATTAATTTTTTATTTTTTGGGTTTTTATTATCCTTTTGTTTTTAATTTGTTGCAATCAAATTGTGTGTCCAAAAAATGCAGATCTTCTTTCCGTCAGTTCATGCCGAGCACTGGTTCTTGTTCGTTGTTGACATTATAGCAAGAAAGTTTGTCTTCCTAGATTCTTATTATGAAGGGAACACACCATTCCACATCGGGATCAGAGATTTGATGGTTAAAAACATTTTTTTCTAATCTTTTCTTTTTTTCTTATTTTTTCTCTAGATAAACAATTTCATAAAAACATGGGAAGATTCCAATCTGAGAGGAATGGGTTTCACAAAGTTTGGTGTAGAGTACCCAAACATGCCAAAGCAAATAGGAAGGTAAAACCTAGCTATTTCGTGTAAACATAAATTCAGAAGTACTGTTTGTTTTTCATTTTTTTATTATTTGATCTTTATTTAATTTTTTGTTGTTAAATTTTATGCAAAAAAAACAGCGATGCTTGTGGGATTTTTGCTCTTAACTGGATGCAAACGTGGGCTTCGCGAAATCCTCTGCAGCGACAGTTCACGATGAACGACGTAGTAGACGCAAGGGTCAGATTTGCTGTTGACATTCTGTTTAGTATTCACAACACATAGGATCAAGGCAAAAAACTCATCAAGAACTTCATGGTAAATTGTTATGTTTTGTACTTCTTCCATTCAAGCATAGTTTTTTCTTCTTTTTTTAGCAATTTGATTTGTGATACATAATTGTTTATCTTTTTCTCCTGTCTTTCCAATTTTTCTGTGTATTTCTTTTTGCGTTTGCCACTGTAAACAAAGTTACTTTTGTTTATCGTCTGTCATTTTGAGGTTACTAACTAGTTCTTTTTTTGTACTTCTTCAGAAGGTTAAGCAGCCAACCAAGCACAACATTTTCTGTAATGCATGGAGGAATACTACAAGAAGGTCTTTTAGCAAGATGATCAAAAACAATCACAAAAGTCAACATCACAAAGTGTCCGGTGTACATGGAGGAACGATATGATTTTCTTTTTCTGTTGAAAGGGAATCCAAGTTGTATAGCAGTGTCATAGAAACTGGTCATTAACCAGAAAACAATTCAGAATGTCTCATGTTGTTTTCAGATCAATATCGAAACATCGTTTTTTGAGTGTTCTTTTCTAAACTTTTTTATTCTTTTAAGTTTGATTATTTTCAGTATCCCTCTTTTTTCTAATATTTTCATGTCGTCTGTAGCGGCACTAACGAGAACATTTTGTTGCGCCTGTTCTCTACTTTGGTGCAGGATTTCAAAATTCTTTTGCGCATGAAATGTACTTTCTACAGCGCAATCGAAAAAGTAGATGAAAAAATTCAAGGAACCTACTATGTTAAGGTCAGTGTTGCTACTAGTACAACTGAAATTTATAACTTATGCATTTACTAAAACAGTACCAAAAGTGCTATCATCCATCAACAATCATAGTTCCTTCATGTTTTTTGTTCAGTGCCACAACAAACAACCAAAAACTTGAGTGAATTTACATTTTTTCAGTCATCACTTGCATATTTTCGCCTTCTTGAACTTCCAGTACACAAATTTTTATTTTTCTTTTCTTGCCTTCTTCCTCGGGTTTGCACCAGCTGGTCCCTTGCCTGTAGATGTGCCAGATGAGCCTACAAATTTTTTTCATCAAAATGAATAAAATGAACTACAAGTTCTTTTTTGTAATGCTGGAAAAACTAGGTAACACCAAAATAGAAAAGTTTTTGATGCAAAACTTGAGGTCTGTTTGCGGATGACTTTTTCTTTCTGGGCCAAATTGATATCTTCAGTACTTGCAGTACAAGAACTTTTATAATGACCAGGCTTCCCACACCGACTGCATGTGACTTTCTGTTTAGATGCTAAACTTTCCATGAAAGTTTTGTAACGTCCTTTTTGTGGACGCCCTTTTGACACTGCAACATCAGGATCTTGAAGTTTGTCTCCATAGCCATTAGGATGCGGTGCTGCATCAGTCTCTGTTGTGTCCTTGTCAACATTTGCTTGCTGCGCTTCTACAAGTTCATCCTCTTTAGTCATCTCATCCAACCTTTGTTGCACCCTTTCACATTCTGCTACAACATACAGATATTTTCTGTTTGTTGATGCACCGTCTGAGGCCATCTCATTGAGCCTGTTGGATAGCAGGGTATACCTTAAGTGTTGACTTCCAGCAGTTAGTTCCAAAGGAACAATGAAATGGATGTCCCGTATGTCCTTTGTATTTTTTGGCCTCCACCTTTCTATGTAATATTTTTCTAGAAGCACAGACATGTTGAGATGAGAAAGTACTCTCAAGACATGGCAACACACAATGCCATCTTTCTGAAATTTCCCACAGATACAACTGAACAACTGTTCCTGCAAGTTCACAATCACAACAAATCTTCGTGTTCTGAAATCCTTTTCAGCTAGCATTGGTGTCTTGTAGACTTCATATTTCACATTTCTCTCAACCTCTTCAACATGCAAATTCAGCACAAACTTTATCTGTTTTTGGAATCTGTAAAATATCTTTCTATTGTACATTTTTGCAGCTTGTATCTCGAGCTCACTTCGTGCCCAGAATGTCGGCGAAGTCGTTCTTGTGATAGAGTCTTGCTCCCTCTCCTTATCTTGTATGGTTTCTGAAATCTTCTGGTACTCTTGGAGGAAGCTGATCACATTGTGGGTTGATGTGATGTTGTCCTTGAAAATGGCGTTGGTGCCTTCACTACGCGCAGTAGAGTGAATGAAGGGGAAGAACTCCATCTTGAAATAGACAGGGACAAACCTTTTCCTTTTCTTCCACATGATTTGGAAATACTTCACATGCCCAATGTTGTATTTTTGAATCATCTCTGTCCACAATTGCTCAAACTCAGCCACTGTCAGAGAGTTGTGAATGATGTCACTGAAATCATCATGCAGTGTTTTATTTGCTGCAAAAGTCCTAGTACATTTTTCCTCGGCCTACTTCTTAATATGAAACAAACATCGCCTATGGCAGATATGCGGGAAAACTAAAGGGATAGCTGTCTTCATCCCAGCATCCTCGTCTGTTATGATTGTGGACGGTGATTTCCCACCCATGCAATGTAAGAATGTCTCAAACAACCATTGAAAGGTGTCAGCTGTTTCATTCTCTATGATTGAGCAAGCGAACAAACAGTTCTGCCCATGTCCTATGACACCAACAAAGGGAGCAAATGGGAGGTTGTATCTGTTTGTCTTGAATGTTGTGTCGAAGCTGAGGCAGTCTCCGTACAGCTCATACATTTTCCTAGAATACCCGTCAGCCCAGAAAATGCACAAAACTTTACTTGCGTCATCAGAGACTTTACTTGTTTTGAACGCATAGTAAAATTGTGGATCTTCAGCTTGCCTCTTCCTGAAATATGTGAGCACCTGCATCATGTCATTTTGATTGCTCTCTTTGACAATGGTTGTTCTAACATTGCTCACATGCTTTTTGGTGTAAGGAGTGTTCCCGCCTCTCAAGTAACTTAGGATTGCTATTATTTGTCTTGTTGGTAGCTTCACAACATTGAAAGTTCGGATTAGGAGTTTCTCCTCTTCTGTCATGTAGTTATGAGAACGAAGGTATTTCACTTCTGTGTGAGGACTCAAATCATGGTTGTGCTATAGGTTTATGGTTGTTATCACCCACTTCTCATCCTTCTTGGTGACAATGAGCTGAGCTTTACACCCTGCTATTGCGATGGTGTTTGCTTTTTTATTCCTTGCATTGCGATAGGGCTCTTGTCCTGTCTTCTGTTGCCTTGTGTCACGTCGTTTCTTCTTCCTATTCTCTTGTTCTTCTGCATCAATTACTTTTCCTGACCGATTGCACTTGAAAGTTACCCGAGTTGCTGCACTGCCTCCTTGTTTCTTGCCACAATAGCGAGATGCTTTGATCACAGAAAAACTAGCAATTGAGGCGTACTCATTGTAAAAGTTGTAAGTTGCATCATCCGTATCAAAGACCATGTCCACATGGGGTACGTGATGACTGCGCACTTCTTGGCTAGCACTCTGAGCAGCTTCTATACTGTCATTTTCAAGGAATATCAGTATATCTTCCTGTGTTAATTTTTGAACTTCGCCAGCTGCACCACTGTTCTCTTGTTCTCCAGCAGTTGTAACAGTAATCTCAGAGGCTTTTTGCAACAACGCTGGAGAAATATCATCCTCGGAATCAGAATCATTGTCAGAAGGAATCTCATTTGATACCATAGAGCCGTTTTTGTTTCCTCCTGCTTCTGTCTACATTTCATTGTCCCAGTTCAAATCATTCAAGCTTTCTGAAAAACGGTTGTCAACAAAAGGTTCAAGCTCCATATCATGTTGGTCATCAACTTGAGATGTTTGCTGAGCTCCACCCCCAGTGTGTGCTTGGAATGGATCTTCTGAAGATCTACTGTATCGCCCAGTTATCATGTACATATCATTCTGTAGAGAGAGTTTTTTTATAGTTATACACAGTAGTCAAACAATTTTTATTCAGGGGACATAGACACAAGTTTAAGAAGGAAAAAACATACCTCAGTACGAACAAGGCGATCTTCTTGCGATTGTGAGGATGCATATCTAGCACCCTGAAAATTAAAACATCTCTAGTTACTTTTCTTTGTTTTGATGTTTTTTTGTTTTTGGTTTATTTTTGTAAGTTAATACAGTTTTTATCTACGACAAGCAAACAGGAGTATGTTACTAGAGAACCTCTTCTTCAGCAGCAAGTAGGAGTTGCATGTATGACATGGGAGCTTCATAAGCGACTTTGTTTGCCTGCATGATTATTTTTTGCGAATTTCTTGTAAAACAATCGTACTAGAATTTCTCTTTTTTTCTTCCATTTTTCTCTACACTGTAAACACTTACAGGGGGTTGGAGCGCAGTAGACGCTTGGTTGGACTCACCCACTGAAGTATGTGCACCCAGGTTCAGAGGGAAGTTTGCCTGCACAAAGAAGTTTTAACATTCAGATAAATGTCTACTGACAATTTCGAAAGCAAATGTTTTTTTTTGCAAAGAGCCCAGAAATACCTGTGTATTGCCTTGACTATTGAAGATATCATACATAGGTGCACTCACTGGAATGTTCAGGGCATTCCCTTGTGTTCTGTTAATAGAAGCACGAGGAAGCATCTGATTTTGCATCCAGGGGTGTGTATGATGCAGCCCTTGGTTCCAAGCACCAGAATTCATACACTGTTGCTGCTGGCTATTTTGCCCCCCTGTGTTTTTATGTTTTCCACATAATAGTACAAAAGATCAGACATCAAATTTATGTAACCAAATAACCAGAATAGTGCAAGCAAGATTCAGATGTTCATTAATTTTTGATTTGCTTTTTGTTTGTAGCCACTAACCTGAGAACCAAACAGAGAAGCTCCATAAGCATCAACAACAGCTGCATATGAAGGATGTTGTCAGGTATATGAAGGATGCAGCACCTAGAACAGAGACAAGAATCCTAGATCTAGAGAGAGGAGAGGCGTGCATACCCTGGTGAGTGCTTTGTGCCCTCCTAGATCTCTTATTCCATCCATGTTTTCTTTTCTCTTCTCTCTCTCCTCCTTGCTTCTTCTTGCCTTCTTCGACCATATTAGCTTCCTTCCTCTGCTCA